AAACTTATTTCGTGAAACTTTACCGATTTAGCCATTTTTTTCCCCAGTGACTGTAGAGTGTTCAGGTAACCCGTGCCAGAATGGTGCAAAGTGTGACTTCTACGGGAAGGAACAGTACAAGTGTCGATGCTTACCAGGGTACACTGGGGAGCACTGTGAAATTGGTAAGTTTTTTCTTAACGATTGTTCACCGAATAATTATTTAGGTATGAATTTGTGAATGAAGCTTACTTTATCAACAGTTAATCAAGCTAAGAACAAATGCACCAAAAAATTACTTTTCCTGACAATGTAGCAAATTATCGTGAATTTAGCTGGTAATTTTGTTCCGTACGAGACTCATTGGCAGTAATTTTTTATTTCCGTTTTGCTCTCCTGCGTAAACAAAGGAGTCTATTGTGTCTTTTATCAAGGGTCACTTTCTGTTAGTTATCAAATTGACAGTGGCATGGAATTCCCTCTAGAGGTGCGAATGGTTTCAGAGTTTAGGAACCAAAATCTAATTGGTCAGAAAAGGGAAAGTGATGTAGTTCTAAAGTAAACAACCGTTAGTGGGGAGGAGCGTTGCGTAGCGAGTTTAAGAACGGCTGCGAAGGAGACTGGAGGCGAGCAGCACTTTGTAAATCATCTCCAAGTTAGCAAATCAATGTGCGCGAAAAGTATTTCTCGTTAATGTGGCTTATACATTGTGCGAGAACAATTTATCATAGATATTGTGGACAACTGAAGTAGCTGCTTTTGGTTTTTGTATTTTCAATCGGACGCAGACATTGACGAGTGCTCCAGCAATCCGTGTTTGAATGGAGGCACATGTATTGATTTGGTAAATGGTTTTAATTGCTCCTGCACATCATCATTGACTGGCAAATATTGTGAACTCGGCATGGGTAAGTTGTTGTTTCCAACTTTCCTTCTGCATTATAGGATGCCAGTTTTATGGTACGCTTTCGTTGACTGGAGGCATCGAAATTAAAAAAAAAGAGGAGTTAGGGAGGATGGGGGAGGCTAAGGCCCCTCCTCCTGCTGCTTCCTTGCCCTTATTTAAAATAAAGCAGGAGCCTCTCATGCTTCTTTAGAAACAATTGCTCATACCAAATACGCCATGATCCAAGAGGTGCCATGCAGACTTTTTTTCCACCCAGCACCATGCTTTGTAGAGGGAAAATTACGTTTCTTTTTAAATCATATTATCATACACTTTTAAGGGAAGCTGATGACTTACCCCTTTTAGAAGCTTTCCATTGAAAAAAATACCATTATTTCTATAACGTGAGCAAAACAACCGTGAAATTTCTAGCGATACCGACTACGCATTCGGATAATAAGGAAAAGGTTTGACTTACTTTCCAGGAGCAGAGTGCAGCTCTTACTTACTCGACACAGAGGAAGACCGCAGCATAGCATATCAATCAGGTGGGTCAAAGAAATGTGACGACGCCTTTTCTGGAGGCTGGTACCGCTTTAACAGCACTGCAGGCTCAAAGATGCCTACAACTTGTGTGCCAAAGAATATGTGTAACACAGATGCACCCGGCTGGCTTAGTGGGAGTCACCCTTCCCTCCAGGAAGGAGTTGTCGCTCGCACCGTTTGTTTTCATTGGAGCAGTAATTGCTGCAACTGGATGGTTACCATTGATGTGAAGAACTGTGGAGAATTTTTCGTTTACAAGCTTGTTAAACCAGGCGCATGCACTCTTCGTTATTGCGTGACCAACTGAAACCTTAGTTACTAGAACCAGCTGCGGGAGGCGACTTCCTTTTGTTTGTGAAAAACAAAGCTGAAAGTTACGTCTTTAATCTTTCAAAGATGAGCACGGAGTTGACACTAAATTTTAATAAGATTTTTCTTTGTGCCAAGATAAGTTTTTCCCTCGTTTGTCACAGAAGAAGGGAATTATCATTCTATTTATGACACAGTTTTCAGCTTCACCTTTTGATGGTACTGAAAATTAAGAAGAAAACCTTAAAAGGAGATTCTCGAAATAGAATAGCATCTTATTTTCCTTACAATATCACCCCTGAATCACACCGAAGAATAAAGGAAATGATCACATACCAAAGAAGCTCTAGATTGCTAAACAAATTCTCCTTCTCAGCACCTAAGAAAATGTATGGAAAACAGTATGGAAACTATACATACTGATGATACGGTGTAAAGACTTAAGCTTGAAATTGGTAGTTTGGTTAATAATTTACAAGAATAATTCCCAAAGTGTACACTTAGGCACCATCAGTTTTGCATGCATTTGTTTCCAATTTCTGGAGTCCGTACCTTGCTATCTTTTCGGCCCCTCCTTATTCTCTTACACTACCTTCTTCGTATTCCTTTGCGGATTTCGTTTGACGGCAGATGAAAAATCTTAAGTTTGGAAATCATATTTACTCCATGTCACTAAATGCAAACAGCCCAATAGAGCTTCACATATCAATAAAGGAAAACGAACTTACACAATCTTCAACCATCCTTGCAATCAAAATTTGTATGAAAGACCCGCCATAATGGAGCGTACACAATAACAACAGTAGACAATGGCTTATATGGATGTTGCGGCATCATAACGGAACGTTAGCTTTCTCATAGTTAAGGAATGTAGAAGAACTTACAGACAGAAGCAAAATCCCTTGAGTGTTGGCTTCAAGGCGCAGGTTTCACAACGGATGTAATATCGTATGTTCATAATGCATTTTATAGTCCGAAAAATAAAAGTTGTGGTCGTCTTTCTTGATAATATCTAATAGAGAACCTAACCAAAACCACTATTTGATCCATTTTCTCCATATAAACGCACATACAATCCACACTTTCCTCCAATCGCTCTGACGAAGGACTAACGCTCGAAACGTCAGCCTTTAAACTCTTTACTTAGATCTGTAGAAATTTTTAAGAATTCAATCAAGACTTTTCTTTTCAGGTAATTCTTCCAATAGTGGTTAAGTTATGAATTGTATATAGCCAAGTTAACTGTAAGATGTAATTATTTTTTGAACTAGTTGAGATTTTAGTATTTAGAGACACTAATTGTAAAGCGCTATTGATCTGTCATTGTAAATAGCGCTTTATAAGAAATAAATTATTATTATTATCATTATTATTATTATTACGGTGGCCAATTTACGTTTTCAACTCAGGTGATAACACTTCATTACCCTTTTATATATACTCTCCCACCGACGCAGCACCACAGTTTCTTTAGAAACTTACCCCCTTTATTCATGTATTTTAAATATTTGTGCATTTTTTAGCCGTCCTCTTATAAAAAGCAACAACGTGAAATCACCAAAATTTGCGTGATTTGAGAGCGGAAATCCCGACGACAAATTGTTCAGTTTTCCATTTGGAACTCAACACTGTTCACGCGAGTAATACTGAAATTGCGATGTGCCGCTGTAAGAAACTTTAAACACATCCAGCATTCGCAAAACGTGCAGTTTTCCATCTTTTCAAAAAATCAGATATACATACAGGAATAAAAACTAGAAATAACCATGGATAGCATTTGAATAATCATGGTAGTACAGCGCGTTCTATATATTTTTCGAAAGGTTATTTTTGTTCTACGTAATGAAGTCCGTTATACAATTATGCCTTCGAGCGTTGTATGGTGGCTTAGCCCACAGTTCTGATTCGTAGTAACTAAATTCTTTCGATTTAATGGTGGCAATGTTACTACAGATCTTCCCATGGCATCCAGGACCGAAACGAGTCTAGATACTAGCATGAGATCGAGGCCAAGTGAGTCAGTCAGTCGAAAATGGCGTCAAAAAGCTGAAGAAATGAATAGTATACTTTTTCTTATGTCGAACGCAGTAAAAGGCAGTCGAAATATTCAAACCCTGACACCGCTTGTGTCTAGTAACAAAAGTGCGTTTGATAACGTTTCCGGACGCAAAAACTGGCAAAATACAGCTGAGTTCATTCACAATGAATTTTCCTCACTAAATACCGTTGACTAAAACCATAAACGGTTGGGAGCAGATTTCAAATGGGTTAGCTCTCGCCGATAGCCCTCGGCAAAATTCATAGAAGGAATTTCATTGGATCCTTGCAGACTTGGTTGTTCAGTTCAACGTCTCTGCGATTACGTAATGATTTTAGAGAGATCAAACACGGTACAACGTTTAGGACAATCTGTGGATGTGAAATACCCATACTCAACATCGCTGTTAATTTTCGATCGCAGACCAAACAATTTTTTCTTGTCCAAGTGTAACGGCTGCTGCCTCTGAATCAGGAAGTTCAAGCTCGTCTGCACAAGAACCACCACCTATTAACTGTAGGATTGCAAACAATTCAACAAAAAATATGAAATTTTTGAACAACGGGATACAAGAACCAAATCAGAACTGCACACTCTGGTAAATCTACACGGCAAGACGAAGAAGGGTACAATCCGAAGATAAATCCAGCCTAGCTATGAGAGAAGAAGGTTACTGGGAACGAAGAAAGAAGAACAACGTTTCAGCAAACAGGTCACGTGACGCCCTACGACTAGCACCAGACGCAGAGAAGGGTGACTTTTCTTGAGGAAGAAAATATGCGTATCCGGGCAAAGAAAAACGCTTTGGAGGATGAGATGATGCTTTCACCAAGTGCGAACTTCTTGAGTAATAAACATTGCTTTGAGCCATGGGAATCTTTTTTAAAAACTGCTTAAAATTACCTTGTTTTGAGTTCTACTATATACATAGTTTTGCTAATTCTTAGCAATTTAGCCGTTCTTCTGTGCATTCCACAACAGAAACCGAAGTAATTCGGGGACTAAAAGTCGCATTAAATCCCCGTACGTCACGTTATTAAAAGCATTTAATTTGACTTCACTTTTTCCGCGGTGGAAGAAAAACAAGATTTACACACGGGTTTTTAAGCAGGGCTGGTATTATTGCTTTAGTATTGTTGTGTAAAGATGAAATTCCATTCAGCTGATTCGTACGTTTTACGGTTTTATTTCCGCTAACTGAACTTACAAAATTGCACGTAAACATGCGTTTTTGACCTTCTTAGCAAAAGAAACTTTGCCCTTTACATAATAAACAATTAATCGCGTGTTCCCTCGTAAAATTGTGGACTAATATCACTTTTTTTTTCAAGGAAGCTGTAGAATTTAGTAGTTTTGATTTGCATGTGTACTCTGACTTTAAACACAGCTAACAACAAAATTGTCTGTTTTCATAAGCGTGAGAATAATACTCGCAATGTAAAACTCCTCTAAGCATGTTCTATCCCATGTCATCTCCCACCGAAACGTTTGATTCCCGACCTAAATGATGATGGTGAGTGCTCTGAATGAAACCACAGCTGTCCTCAGTTGGTTACCTTAGTTTATCTACATCTATCACTCTTTTTAGTATCTAGTACAGCTTTTTACTTCCCCGATCTGGCCAGTCAAAAGCCTCTTTGGAAACTACTTTGCCACTGAGTCGAACTGAGCCAAGTCGTTCAGCTTTATGCTACTTAGCTTCCAGTGTCACGCAGTCTAATTTGTCACACAATACCTGAGGGAACATTGTGTAGTGGGTGACAGTTTATACGTAGAAAACAACCCACAATTCCTCATCATTATAGCTGAGGTCCACGCGCAACAGTTTGAGCCGAAATGGAAACAAATAGTGCGGTTCACGGCACCCTCTTGCGGGGTCGGGTGGATCCCGTTGAGCCAACCAGGAGAATGAGTGTTGCACATTGTCGTATTCACACAGTAGTCTGGTATTCTTGTGCCCGCGGTGCTATTGAAGCGGTACCAGCCCTCTAACAACGTTTTATCGCATTTACCATTGTTATTGGATTGACGTACATGAACACTCCGATCAAGGTCATTGTTCGTTATGTAATTATCACACCCGACCCCTGAAAAGCAACGAAAAGAACTAAAACTTTAAAGTTTAGTTTAAAGTATAAACTTTAAAGTTTACGCATAAACATTATGAAATTGTCGAGTACAGTTGATTATGAGTGTAGAACCTACGCGGTATAAATTTTTGCTATTATCATCATCATCAATATAAGTTTTATTATTATTATTACTATCATTACTATTATTAAATAGTTTTAATGTTGTAAAGTTTGGACCTGTGACTACATTTTTTCAGGTGGCCCTGATGTTTAATACAGTCCGCCCCGTGTGTATTAACTGAAAATACTGTGGACTGCTAGAAATCACCATCATTAGAGTAACGCGACCCGGTTGAAAAACGGACGAGAAGTGGAATATCCCACGGGGGAAAATGAGATTACAGAGCAGTTTTCTAAACCTTAGTAACGAGGACAGCTGGTATTATACAGGGGCAGATGAAAGTTCACTGCATGAGCTCTTGATACGGCCTTGGTTCACAGACCACACTAACCCTTTGCCTCCCTTTTGCTTTTTCTCCATACTGTTCTCTATAATTTTCTAAGGAACTGACAAGGAGAATCTGTTTAATAATCAAGAGCATCTGAAGTTGGTGGTCATTTTCTTTATTCCATTGACCATGATATTTGAGTCAGGGATGAAATTGTAAGAAGCCATCAGATGCAAGTCACTCTCAGGGGTCAAAGGATCTGAAGCGTGGTGAAATCTGACGAGCGAAAACTTAATCTGATTGAAATTGGTCAGCATCGTGCTGATGATGGTGCCAATATCATATACAAGTCATTGAGTCTTGTTGCGCAGAACCAATGCAATCACAAGCTACTTCTGACAATAAGTATAAAGTGCCTTTTGAAATTGCTTTCATCGCAAAACTTACCTATACCAATCTCGCAGCGTACACCGGTTAGCAATGGCGAACATGAACATGTAAAACCACTCGCGGTAGCATTGCATATGCCTCCGTTCAAACATGGCTGGCTGGAACACGCGTCTATGACAAGAATGAAAGAAGATGATTTTTCACTTAAAATCTCCATGCGACGTCTATGAAATATCAAACAGTAGAGCAATGATAAATAAAATGTTCTTAATAGGATAGAATTAATGATAATGTCTATTGATAAGGAGGATACCGATAATGAAAGTGATGATATGCGTTATTTTAATCATTATTATCATCATCATCATCATTATTATTAGTATTATTATTGCCATTATCTCAGTTTTTATCATAAAATCCATGATGAAAACAATAACGATAAATTACTTATTTTAATTAATATAATGAGTATAAGTAATAACATAATTTCAAGTGAAATTTGGTGTTAAAAAGCACGAGTAACTTTTTCAAAGACAACAAAATTGCACGAGCCAGTAAGGCAAGTCTAATTTGTAGTCTTTGAAAATTTACAAGTGCTTTTTACATCAAATGCAAGAGAAATCGTGTTATTACTTGTTAATAATGTGCACGAAAAATATCCCAGAAAGTCAAGTCAGACGACATTGTGAAAGCGTACGCGCACTATTTGTAATTTGCACTCCTGTTACAACTTTGCACTCGTGTTACATGAGAATGCACTGGTTGTCAGCCAATCATAAACGCGTAATTTTTTATGTACATTATTAGACAATGATACTTGTACTGATTTATTTTTCATTGATGTTTGAGGTTTTGTCAATAATTTCTCTTACCTGAACACCTAAAAGTTACAGAGTAAAAATGTATGCTTGAGATTCTACAACCATTTTAAGTTCTTCTCATCCCACTCTACTTGGTAATTTTATTTTCTCACCCTTTTCGCAGTGATCCCCGCTGTACCCTTGTGGACAACGACATGTATACTGTCCCTTCCCCTGATAGTCACATGAGCCACCATTCTGACATGGATTGGCGGTGCATTCCACGATGACTGTAGGCGTAGATCAAAGGGTGGAAAATTAATCTTATTAAATTTTCGAATTAGACTGCTGACAAATAAACAATGCAACGTGCTGTAATTTCAGATGATAAATGAGGTAAACCCATGAATAAACACATAAATGGATGGACAAGTAAATGAATCGGCAAAACATGACACAGGCTCTCACCTCCTCTTTCCATATCGCAGTAAGCTGTCTTGAGGTTGTCACCAGACTCCCCTGAATCTAACCAAAATCTTCCGCTAGGTACCAGTCCGCCTGAACTTTCCTTTATTTCTTGACAGGAGATTGCAGGAAGCTCGGAAAAGGAGCCTGGAGTGGCTTAAGTAGCGGGAGAGAAATTGACATGTGATTAAAACTTTTCTGGGTTAAGATAAAAATTTTAATTTTGCACAAGGCTTAGCTGCAGTAATCAATCAGTGATCTCCGGGTGAAGACAAATTGCAGTGTCGTGACCACCCTATGGGACCAAACTATAAACTATACATTCTCAGAGGCAATTTAAAATGAAATAAATTTCATTTGATACAAATCGTTATCAGGTTCCTCCATGGGAAATAACAACCCTTGAAAATGTGCTCCACTTCCAACGTTTAGTCCAAATATAAGTCTGTAAGGCACGGGTTCGATTCCCGTTGGAATTTGAATTTCTTTAAGGCGTCTTTGCTGCAATTGCTAAATTTACAGATCACCCACGAGAATCATGGCTTTATTTGATATTTCATGAGGATGACTTGGCAATTTTCGGTCCATATCAAACTTCCCCGTCCTTGAAAACAATCCTTTCTGAATGGGTCATATTCACGACCGCTATGGATATCTTTTTTATGTTAATGTAATATTGCACTTCACGGCTGACAGACGGCTGGATGAAGACTGCAATTACCTCAATGATCCTTCGTACACTGTACGTAATGGGAAACAGCAATGACACTAATTAAATCAAAATCTTTTGTTTTAAGGACGAATGATACTAAGCGCCGACTTCCTCTCAAATGCGTCGAAAATGGCGGCTTAAAATTTCAATTTTTACTCATTAATCTGCCGGAAATCTGTAAATTTTCAAATTAAGCACATCCTATTCAATTCTAGCATCTTCTAAAGTTTTAATTTACCCTTCTACTTTTTCAGCTGAGAAAATTTTTGTCAAAAGATGTAAAAAAGACTGATAATATAACAATGATATTATAGACTTTTAAATAGATCCGGCCCACACATTTGTGCCGTACCTCAAGTCTTAAAAACTTTCGTAACTGTCACAATTTTATGAGGTTTTTTTGCCAGACAAGCAAGTCGCCTGAAACTGCCTTTCGCTGCTCAGACAATTTGTATCATGCCTTTTCCTGCCATCGGAATTGTGTTTTCTGAAGACAGATTTTAGTTAAGTGTTGGTAGCCAGTTTGGAGAATAAAAGGGTCAGTTCTCTATCGTTTTCATAGGGTAATTGCTATTTACAAAATAAGACAACAGATAAGAACGGAAATTAAGAAATAGACTTCATACCTCTGAAGGGGTTCTCCATGTAAAAGGCGCCCTCCTGTGGCTGAAAATTCAAATGTCCCACGATCTGAGTGCGGTTGTTCAGCTCACAAATTTTCGTCTTTTCATAAAAATTAAAGCTCTGACATCGTCTGTCTCCTTTACACTGGTAATAACACGCAAACATGTTCTGGACAACAAATGATGCGTAATTGTGTTTCACGAGAACAACTCCTTTGATAGATGATACACAGTTCTCACCGCTTTGCAAACTGTCGCTAGTAACATTTGCGATGTTGTGCAAAATCACGATGAAACGACTAACTATGCATAAAAGCGACGACAGGCGAAACCTTGTGCGGCTAACCTGCATGTGAAAAGATAAACGAACATTTAAAAGCAGGTAAAAATGCTACAATTGTCATACGGTTTACACAGTAACTCTTAATGTCTTAAAAAAAAAAAATGTTTACCAAAATTAGCTGTTATTGTAACAAACCAACAGTAATCTGCACGATTCTCACCTCCGTTTTGTGATTCTGTTTCATCTTTCGTCAATCGTTGGCAAAATCCTTGCTCAGGTTCCCGACAGCGAGCGCCAAGAATACGTGAGTACTGTCAGAAATGTGGTTAAATTTTGCTCTCTTATTCGCCAGGGACAGATTTCCGTTGCCCTTAATTGCTAACACTCCGATTACATCCGTGTTCTTGACGCCAGCCTCTAATAAATTAGCTGTTGAATAAAGCTTTCACTAATAAGCCGCCTAACAGTAAATTTGGTTGGCTTGTTAGTCGATGTGTTTGCTCATTTCAACCTATAGAAGCTATAAGTAGTAAAGTAGGGCGCAACTCTCTTCTGATTTTTTTTTAAATTTTTTTTTTCCAACAAAATATGCGCCAGTTTCAACAGCAGTCACAGTGTGTTTTTCTAGCCTTTCGTTGCAACACCTTACAACCTGCTTTGCGTCACATATTATTACAAACAATCTTCCTTTTATTTATTCTTGTGCAGAGAGATTTTGATAACAAAATTTTGACTTCTTTGAGTGCATTTGTCATTAGCCGCAGAGGTAAAAACAATCGGCTCAATAATAATTTATTTTGCAAGCATTTCTGATTCAGAGTCTACGCTGCCTCTTTTATCCTTTTAATTTTTTTTTTCAGAAAACAGATCGCCAAAATCAGCGTGAATCAATTGGTTTTATCTTCTTTAAATGGTTTATTTTCGTTGCTTGACGCACAAATTTAAGTTTTCTTCACTGCCGCCATAGGAAACAGTATTAGTTACCAACAATAATCAATGTACGTGCGTTATTACCATCGACTTATCAACGAATTTCAATGTAAAATAAACATTTTAATTTCGCTGTTGCCTGTTCACCGCAGATTGATCCGTGGGACGTGGGAAAACAAAAAATACACCTGCCGAACAAAGACCAAGTAATAAATAAGAATTATTTATCCTATCTTGAAAAATGACAACCCTCGCATTTGATTTAAAAGGGAAAATCGATCCTCGCATCAAGAAAACAATAAATTGTGGTCATTTGCTCAATTTCTTTTTTTTCTTTTATCTGGTTCCTATTGTACTGTATCGCTCGTGTTCCCAGTTACATTGTATGTAGGGACAATACTACAATAAGTTGCAGGAGCAGATACATCCGTATAAACATTGATATCACGGAAGACTGTCGCTGGGCTCTCGGCTACACGGGCAGAAAATTTGAATATGAAACCGTGAGATAAAATTACAAATCGAACATGCGTGATGTCGACTTTTGTTGACGTATATACTTAAATCAAAATTTTGGCAAATCATAACTGTTTTTTACATCTTATTCTTGTTGTTTTTTACAACTTCTTGCTGTCTCCATTTGTGTGCATTATAGGCTATGATTTTTAAAATTCAATTATTTAAGGTTTCTTGTACTCTTTAATATTTGTGCATGAGCTCTTTGAAAGTTTCAACCTCACAATAATAATATTTTGAAATTGTTTTTTTTCCCTTCCGCCTCAATTTGCCACAACACTATTTTTCGGGTAGGGAATAGTGTATCCTGAATGGCATTTAAGTGATGAAAAACTTGAATTTGAACTTGAAGTTTAGTAGTGACAAAGATTGCAAGCGTTCTGGATAAATTAAATGTATCAGTTTTTATTTTACTGCGAAAAAGGGTCATGTTATCACAAAATATTTCCTCGTGTATAATCAAGTACTTTCATTCAATTTTACTCGACTTACGACGTTATTAACTGGATTATTAACTTCTTACTAACCGAGCGCGAGGACCGCACTGGTGTGATTATTGGCCCGAGGTCGTAACAGTGCGGACTAAGCGCAGCGAGTGTCATACAGGAACGACCGAGGACCAATGTTCCTAGCTCAGTACGGTTCGAGCAATCGGAATAAACTTGATGTTTATCTGAATTTTCCGGCTTCCGAGAACAAAAAGACACGGCTTATGGCCATTTCCGTGCAAAATAAAATGAAATACAGACTTAGTAAGATTAAACATGAAGCACAAATTTACCTCATGACTACCTTGCCATATAAGAAATACTTTTAACGAGTTAAAATTGGTGATCCAGGTTGGTCGCTGCTGACTATGTGTCAAGAACTGATCCACCGATTTTCAATGCTACCAAATATTTAGTAGTGAATTAGCGCAAATATATAAGGTTATTTTTTTAGTCCCAGGTATATGATTTTATTAATGCGTGTTTGAGTGGTTTACAGACTTCTGGAGTGTTCTCCCAACATCCCAAGTAGTTTACTGCGCCGGTAAAGCCGATAGGAAGTGTAGTTTATTGCTTTTACGACAAAAAAATTTGAGTGAAGTTTTTCAGGGAGAATTATGAATTGATCCTTATTTTGCGATCAAGTTGTTGATTCATATAAAAGCCGTCAAAACAAGGAAATGTTGACCAGAGAAATTAAGGCTGAAATTCATTTATTAATAAATGAACGCAATGGCCGGGTACCCAACCAGAAATTTTTACTTTTATACTTAAAAGGTCAGTTGTATTTATGAAATTAATTTTCACTGTGAGGGCTTAACTCTAAAAAATTAGATAAAGTCATTAGACCGCACTAAGACAAAAGCAGCAAAATCGAAAGAAAACAACATCGAGCCGTATGCACTTGTTTACTTGCGGTACACTATTTTCTCTCATCACAATATTTTTTTCCTATCGCTTATGACTAAATAAAAGCTCTCACCGAGTCCTCGTTAAATTTTATAGAAAGTATTACGTACACTAAAACTTGGCAAAAACTATTCAATGAAAGTTGAAATCGCGGACAACAAACCATAAATCTTGAGTTTAACGGCTTTCTCTTCGCAAGCGGTTGATTTTCAATTAATTCCTGAATGAAGATCCGGTAGGTTTGTCGCTTCAATTTTCTTAAAGCAAAAACATGGGAAATTTTCCTTCCCAGTGAGCAGCTTAAGGAAGGCTAGTCTAGAATTTATGAAGTTTTTTCTCTTCAGAACGTAGAGGCCTGGAAAAGCGCAAACAGTTAGGTACACTGCATTTAAGTGCCGCTTGCGCTAAGAGCGGTCCCCTCGACTTCCCGTCGTAGCTCTGAAAAAAAACACGTTAAAAATTTATAATGATAACATGCTGAAAAATGGCTGTCAATGGTTACACAACACATATGGCATAATATCGTGTGTTGCCATATAAGGACTGCATAAAACTCACTTTAAGTCTAATTGGAGAAGAGGCGAATGATTTTATACAAAATACATTGTCTTGCCAGAATCCCGCAAAAATCTCCCTCAGTTTCGTTTCTAGTTATTCTTGTCTTTCGTCTTTTCCCTTTTTCTTATCATTCATTTCTAATCATTCGTTGTGAATTTGCACCGAAATTCTGACTTGCCGAGAAAAACCCGCTTTGTAGGTTTGGAACAGGCATGAAACAAGTCAAGTTGAGCCATCTTTAATAAGGCAAGGTGGCCTGTTTACCTCTACACTGTTAACATTTTGCAACTAATGATTTTCCATGTCATGCATATTTTCATTCGCCGTCTCTCGTCATCATAATTTTAAGAAGAAATTTAGATTCTTGCAAGTTTTTTTTTTAGCATGCTCAACTAAAAATCCCAGTTTTTTATGTAACTAGGCAAGTTTTAGCAGTTTTTAGAAAAAGATTCCGATGGCTCAAGGCAATGTTTATTACTCGAGACGTTCGCACTTCGTGAAAGCATCACACTTGGTCACTGATTAGCCTCCTCAGACGATGATTCTCATCCTCCAAAGCGTTTATCTTCACTCGGATACGCAGATTTTCCTCCTCAAAGGAAGTCGCCTAAGGCAAGTTTTAGAAGTTTTCAAAAAATGTTCCGATGGCTTAAAGCAATGTTTGTTACTCAAGAAGTTCGCACTTGGTGAAAGCATCACACTTGGTTACTGATAAGCCTCCTCAGACGATGATTCTCATCCTCCAAGGCGTTTATCTTTGCTCGGATACGCAGATTTTCCTCCTCAAAGAAAGTCGCCCTTTTCTGCGTCTGCTGCTCTCTCAATCGTCGCGCGTCACGTGACCTCTTTGCTGAAAGGTTGTTTTTCCTTCTCCGTTCCCAGTAACCTTCTTCTCTCATAGCTAAGCTGAACTTATCTTCGGATTGTACCCCTTCTTCGTCTTGCCGTGTAGTTTTACCAGTGTATAGTTCCATTTTCTTCTCTTCCATCCCATTGTTCAAAAATACACTCTTTTCTGTTGAAAAGTTTGCGGTCCCATTGTTAATAGGTGGTGGTTCTTGTGCAGATGAGCTCGGGCTTCCTGATGAATCCTCTTTTTTATCAAGTTTAGAGGCAGGAGCAGTTACATTTGTAGAATAAAGGGATGTTAAGTATGGGTATTTCACATCCACAGATTGCCAACGTTGCTGTTTTGGTGAAAAGAGTGGCGATTGGCGTGATAGACCTTCGCTGAACATACTCATCCTGGCAAATTTATCAAACTGAGTTTGACTTTTCCACATTCCTGGATTGTAGGTCTGGCCATGTCTTGGTGGAAACAGGCTCGATCTTTTGAAGGGAAATGCAAATGGATCGTTTACGTCCCAAACGCGTACAGAGTACTCATTCGATGTCAAAAGCTTTTGATACTGTAAAGAAACACTAGGGAAGCTTTCGCGAGCTGTTACAGATCCTCGGCTTTCCATCTTCGGAGGTCGATGGGTTATGCGTTAGTTCAGTGCGTTTCTGTTCTTTTTCATTTCCATTTCTGTGTGTTATTACAGTTTATTTTATCCTTCCCGTCAAATAAATAAATCTCGGTAAACAAGAAGCATCCGAGAGACATCTGCTTGTTCGCTTTTGTGTGAAAACCATTGAGTAGCAGAGCAAAGTTTACATGGAGTTTGTTTTGGTTAGAAGATTTCCTATGTCCTGAACTCGGTCCAACTGGGCGTTACTTGTTATCGTGCACACCCAGGTGTTGCAGTCTATTTCTCTTCAAATTTACACGTTTGCCAGGGTAGGAATTTGGTTTCCAAGGTTAGGCTTTGCGATTGGAGTACGCAAAGAATCTGCAAGGCAAACTTCGGCTGGAGGTACCACTACTGCTGTCACTATTGCTGTCACCACTACATTTGAACTTGTCAACATCAAATCTTCAAAAAAACAAAAATGGACAAAAACGAATGACCGGTTGTTGATTATTGCTCTGCTTTCACCTGGGGAATTATTGATCGCTAGGAAGTTATGTTTCTTTTTTTTTACTTCCACGAGGCACAGCGGCGTGGCAAATATTTGTGATACCATTAGAGATTTTCAAGCAAACTTGTTAAATATAAAGCTTGCCTCAAATTGATCGATAATATTTGATTTGACAGATCCAAAATTTTCTTATGACCGTATTTCGCCGCTGCTCAACGATAAGAAAAAATGAAAAGAAAATAATGGAAATGTTGGTGAAATATATTGCTAATGTTGAAATTCAAAACAGAGAAAGATGGCTAACGAAGACGGGGTGATGGTAAGGCAACTGTGAGACATAGAGGCTACAGAATTTAGTAGTGACTGTCTTATATAGACTTCACTTAACACTAGAAACTACACGTACATCCAGAGCGGAGTGGCTGACCGTGAAAACGTAACTCTGTTCCAAAAGGCCTGAAGCGGAAATTGCTTGGGTTGAGAATTTACAATTTTTGGGGGAATTTCAAAAAACATGTAAATTAAGTGCTTACGTACGATATTTCCGCACGAGTTTGTTTTCACCACACCCTGGTAGATCAAAATGCAATGAATGGAAGAGCCAAAGTGTGTTTATCAATGCTTCCCCATTTGAAATTCCCAGGGGGCTTTTTTGTAGAGAATAATGATCTCATCATCGCTTATGGCTTGTGCTGCATTAGGTCTATTACCTTTACCCTCCTTTTTAAGTTACTTGTTTTAAGCTTCAATGAGTAGCTTCACATCTCTTGTCGTCTCAGCTCGCGTTTTTTTTTTTGTTTTGTTGCTCTATAATACAATCTTGTTCTAATATAATTCTTGTACTTTTCTAAAAGTACAAGTATTTTTGCAATTTCGGTATGAAAGTTTTCTCGCTATGGATGTTTGCACGCAAGGACTTGAAGTTGTTGAATGAAATCAATGGTATGTTTTGACAAGTCTCTCCTGATTGGACGAAACGCTTTACGCACGTGTGAGAAGGCCATTTCGCTGTTGTGATCGGCTATCAGAATTTTTAGGTGGATTTTCTAATGAAGAAAACAGTGAGTAAATCTCAGTATATATGTGATAAAGTTGGGTTCACAATGCTTACCATTATTTTCTAGAAACCTCGTTTATTTTACTTTTTTTCTATAGACCTTTGTAGCTTACTTTGAGCGTGGCCTTTAAACCAATTTCTCTGAGACAAGTTAATTCACCAAATTGTGTAGGCCAAACAAAGTGTTTTTCCTATGCAGTTCAATTGTTAATCGAGACTACAGACGCAGGTGTCACTCAGCTGCTTCTTGTTTCCTAAATTTGTGTCAACACTGAAGTCTCCTGCCCTGTTTTTTTGTTTTTTCTCACTTTTCTTATCATCCCGAAATCAAACCGATAGAAATACGCTAAAAAATTCTCTGGTTCTCAAATATTTTACATTGAGTGTAAAAATTGCCAGAGGTAGAGGGCAAGAAGTTCAGTTTTTGTCTTTAGCCGTTTTGTTTTTCCTAAATGTTGTATTGTGTTTGATCTCTCTTAGATTATTATGTACTTGCAGAGACGTTCAACTAAACAAACAAGTCTGCAGGGGCCCAATAAAATTCCTTCTATGAATTCGGCCGAAGGGTATCGGCGAGAGCTAACCCATTTGTCATCCGCTCTCAGCCGTTTACGATTTCAATTATTCGACGTTTTTAATGAAGAAAACATCTCGGAAAGGTGGGAATCAACACAGACTGCTTTTTTGCCAGTTGTTGCGTCCGGAAAACTGACTCTTTAATGCTCTTCTGTTAATAGGGAGACACAAACGATGAGCCAGTTTGAATATTTCGATTATATTTTATTGCGTTTGACGTAAGAGAACGCATACTGGTTATTTTGTTGAATCTATCCCGTGGGTTTTATAATTCCCTGTGAATATCGTTCCGAAGCCAGACTGTTTCAGCTTTTTGACGCCATCTTCGACCGACTGGCACACTCGGCCTCGATCTCAGATAGAGACTGAAGACGTCCGCATAAGTTACGCGGGCATCTTGACTGGCTTCAGTCCTGGATGCCATGGTAGGATCTGCAGAAATATTGTAACCTCTTGATCAAAAGAAATGAGTTAACACGAATCAGAACTGTGAGCCATGTCGCCTTAAACTTTTAAGAAGCTACATCGAACGCACTTTACTAATCCATCATCATTTCTAGTTTTCATTTCCCTATCTTTGTCCCCTATTTAACCAAGATGACAAATTGCATGCTTTGCGAATATTTTTCCAAGCAAGGCATTCTAGTCCTTCTTATTTAAGACAATTTCCTGAAAGTTAGAAAACCCAGCTTGTCAGGACATTAGGCAGCAACACCGTGGAAGACATCGATTTGCAGAAATTGTATTTCTAGCTAGAGAAATCCATCTGCTGGATGTGTTTATCTTTTCTAACAGTGGCACATCGCAACTTCGACATAACGTGAGTGAGCAGTGTTGAGTACTAAATGGAACATTGAATAAGTTGTCGAGGAAGTTTCTGTTCTCAGACAACGCAAATTTTGGCGGTTCTACGTTGTTGTTTTTTTAGAGGACGGCCAAAAAATGCACAAAGTTTTAAAGTGCACATACTGAGCTATTGTTCTACCCATTAAATCTTTTGTTTTCTCGCGTCGTTTTTACCCTTGCCGTTGTCGCACAGGCAGACCATACTATTTGTTTGTGGTTAATACGAGTTGACGTGAGACGAACAAAATATATGAGTGTTACGAATAAAGCTCTGAAAATTGCATATCTAAATTACATTTCGGTCTGAATATCTCAATAAAGTTCAATGAAATTTTAATGGACGCATTTGTGATATTTTTCAGCCTTCACGGGCCGTTTGAAGCGTATTTTTACGAAATTTGTTTCGGCCGGAGACCGCTAAGAGAAGAAAGGTGGACAAGGCTTGCAACTTGGTGGCTGCCAGCTATACGACCTCCTCCACTCCAAATTAGAATGAACGCTAGAAAAAAATCTCTCCTCACTAGCGACGGTTGTTGATCGCTGAAATGTTGCTTATTCTCCCCGCTACATTTGAGCTTCATCCCTTCAGGAATTTCCGAGAAAATCGATCTTGAAATGATGAGCTTGACTTTCTTAATATGATCGGGGCCAAACTCGGCGACCAAAAGAATTCGAAGCATGCAAGCCGTTTCAAATTTACCATACAGTGCAGCAACTTGCCTTGTCAGTCCACTGCGGTTCAAAACCAAGCCAAGCGCTTACGTTATAAATTATTCTGTCTCTAGATTATACAAAAACAAGGCAAAAATTGTCGATTATGCGTTGTTTACGCAATGAAATATTATCGGAAAAGTGCCCTCTGTCTCAACCAATCAGCATTTAGCAATTTTGTCCTCTATGTTCTAAGTGTTGAAAAATTTCTTGCGCATAAAAATTGGTATGTCAGAAGTCAATTTAGATCTACAAAAAAAAAAAAACTTAAACTCGCTCTAAAGAGTTTCACAGAGTGGATTAAGGAGTTTTCGTAACGGCCACGAGCAGGTTGGTTCTTGGGAGCGTACATTTGGAAGAAAGAAATTCTGATCCCAATAACATGGCGTTGTATTTGGATTTACCACTGCAGCAGTAAACGACTCATCTTTCCTCTTCTAAACGAAAAACCACAAAAACAGACAAACAGTCATGCAAAGCACAATCGCCACTTTTTCGAGTCAAGCCTTTATTCACTTAAAACACGAGATAAATTTTACAGTTCTTATCAACTTCATTTTTTTTTGTTATTGTTCTTACGGCACGAAAAAGAAGTAGCCAACTCCGTGACGAAGACCTATCATAAACCCTTATTATTACAAATATTCTAAAACCTAAGTTGTTAGAAATAGGTAGACTTAATAAGATTCTTGCCTATGAAAATGGGAAGGTGTTACTAGTGACTGGAACACTAAAAATTATCCTTGTGTAGTCTGCATATGAATCTTTGAAGCGGAATTACAGTTCAACCTAAAATCTTGCCAAGCGAGCGTTATGAAGTGAACTGGTTACAACGGACTTCTGCATCAGTGGGTTAGTTTAGTGGTTTTGTTCATTAAACTAATTTCAAAGTTCCCTTTCGACCTAGAAGGTGCATTAGCTGGCAGTTCTTTGGGTTGCTTTATTATAGACGCAGTTTCCTATTACCCGGGGGGTAACAGGAGTTCTCCTCTGGTGGCAGTCGTCTTGGAAGATTGGAATTTCCAAGAAGCTCTTTGTGAAATAAGTTTGTAATTTTTACGAGGCAAGATCAGTCATAAATTTCAGTGGTAAACTTTGGCCCTCCCCCGATTCAAAGGGCCAGTTGTCATTTTATGAACTATACGTTTAGTAGCGCTACTTCGAACTTTTTCTGTACCACTTCAAACTACATACAGTATAATCTTAACCTACCAGTATTTCACAAGTGCACGCAACCCATAACATTATTTACACTCAAGATATTAACATAACTCTATGTACATAACTTTTGTTCTTGTACCTTACCTAGACATGAAACCACCCGGTATTTGACTTTCTCCCTCCCAGTCTCCACTGAGGGGACAATGAGAAGTTTTCTTTTGGTTACCGAGTCCTTCAACGTGTTTTTGACTTGCTTTCAAAACTTATGACACTGATTACACGGACGATTTCAGACATCTCTCTAGGAGAGAAGGTTGAACTCCTTAGCTGCTGATTTCTCCGTTTTCAACCGAGACATTTTCAACGTCAACAAATTCGTCTTCAGAAGTTGCGCTTTGTTTTTCGTCGTGCATATCGACAGCTAGGGCATTCCAAGCCGCCAAATACAATTCATGGGGAAGAAGTCGAGTCCCTTCTGTTGAACAAATATCAGTGAATTAGATCTTAGTTGAAATTGAGAAGCCAGTTTAACTTGAAAGCATTTAATGTTCCCAGTGATGCGTTAGACACCTTAAGATCGATGTTTACTGCGGACCAGACAGTTGAACAAATATCAGCGAATTAGATCTTAGTTGAAATTGAGAAGCCAGTTTAACTTGAAAGCATTTAATGTTCCCAGTGATGCGTTAGACACCTTAAGATCGATGTTTACTGCGGACCAGACTTCGGCCTCACGTTGGCGGGAATTTTTTCACGCTTTCGACGGCAAGGGGTACGTTTTGCATGAGTCATTTGCCCCAGCTTTTATATGCATGAATGTTTTATTATCCCACGTGTCCTGTCACAGATATAAAAATCGATTTTGTCTCTCATTTCATATGGATTTTGATATCAAAAAACGAATAGTTTTGTTTTTACGAGGTTTGAAAAAACAACTGCTGCTTAACCTTAAAAATCCGATATGGCGACTTTAAAACACATGTTCAATATCGACTCTTAGGAGGTGTACCGAAAAAAGCAAACAGAAAACAGTCAACGACAAACTTAAAAATATGGTTTGCGTCGTGCATTAAACTTTGATCTGAAGGTGCCCAACGATTTCATGAGGTGGGAAGCTTACAATGCCAGGTTCTGGTCATTAAAGGGTGAGTGAGAACTGATATGTGATTGATCGTCTATCCCTAAGATCCCTATACTCTGAAATACGCAACAGCTGTAATTTTCAAGGGGGAAAAGCAAGGCTACACGAAGTTGAAAAAAATTTAAAGTATTAGTTTTCCTTCTTACTGCCCTGGTAGGCGTATTCCGTTTGTAAAACGCTGGAAGGTGTCGCAGCCTTCCCTCTTCAAAGTAGCAATTCGCTTTTTATTGAGTATGATAACGTACCCTGATTGCACTTGCTTGCAACAAGACTCTCGAACGCTGGGAAGTTTGAGTTTGCACGAGGAACTACCATAGGTTTCTCCTCAGATTTAGCATCGCCGGGGGAATTCAACATGTCATCCACCATCTAGCGAAATAAAAGCGTAACCACGTTAAAAAAAAAAAAAAAAAAAAAAAAGTGATGTGCGATTAATTATCAGATCCATGCACTTATTTGAGGAGACGGGGTTAAAAGACCGTAAAACCGGGTGGACCTCTTACAAGAATCAGCGAGTATACAGCGGCTCGATCTCTCAGCCTGAAACCATATATAACTAATAAAAATTGTCTTCAAATCACAGACGCCGCCATTTTAAATCTTGCATAGTAGACGAGCTTCATTCTTATGCCGTAACAAAGACTCACCCCCTACTCCCCTCGTTCGTTTTTAACTTCTCATGGCAATGGTTTGAGATCGGTCACGCGCTATACAAAAGCGAGTATACAAAAGAGCAGTCATGACACAATGAACTATTCTTGGCGATAACGGAGAAGCGGCTGTATTGTGGATCGCGCATTTTACTTTGGCGCGTGAGGCCAGGTTACCGATTCTTTTTGAACATGATGACGTCCATAGCGTAAATTTCAGTGCATTCTCAGAAATATTATGGAAGGTTTGGCTATTCTTTGAAATCTGAAGACATGCTTTTACATGGCGCAGATAATAACCATGTGATTTGATTGATTTTCCTCGCTAAATACAAAAATTAAAACTAAGAATTTAAATGTCTGTCAAATTCAGGTTTATTTGTCACGAGCGTGAGAGAAATAATAGACTTCCGCTTTGATAGTCAACTGCTTTACCCTCAAGTGCGCGTCAAGAAAACCATTATTTAACGGTTGCTCATATACGTTATCAGTTGATAATGCTGAATTACCCTGTTACACTCTCCCACCGACGCAGCAACACAGTTTCTTTAGAAACTTACCCCCTTCAAAGATGTTACATACCTCAACTATTACTCTTTCAAATGACCCAAGTACCTCAGTCTCTGCAAATATACATTGTCAGAAATTATGTCAGTGCATTCTAAATGTGGATCAGTTTTAGTCGACAGGCCTACACTTTGTCATTCGATGGGCGTCTTCGGGAAATAACTAATTAAGGACCTTAAGCAATCACGACAGCATCGCCGAGAGAGACGTCGATTGAAAAACTACTTGTTATTTTTAGTTAGAATTTCGCAAATGGCTGGAGGTTTTTACTGTCTCTTGGATACACCTTTACTTCAGAGTAACGCGTGTGAAAAGCTTCTGTTCTCAGACCACGCAAATTTTAGTGATTTCATGTTGCTGTTTCGCAGAGAACGGCTACAAAATGAACAAAGTGCAGAGGACGGCTGCGAAATGTACAAAGTTTGAAAATGCACGTGTTGAGCTATTGTTCAGGTTATTAGATCTTGTGTTTTGCCACGTCCTCGTTGCTGTCTTCGTCGTAGTTTGCTTAAGGTCCCTGATTGACTATTTGGCACGCAGACAGTCTACCTGCAGTTTCCTAATCACAGTCCAAGTCTCTTCCGAGAACATATCACATGTGCTAAAGGCCCGCATTTTAAATTGTCGCGAAATCTTTCAAGCATCAGAAATGTTATTGTGAGTTGTTTACAAATGGAGAGTACGCTAACTAGTATAAGGTTGAAGTATTGCACTTGCAATTTGTGCTCAGAATTAAAGACATCCGAATAATCAGGCTAACATGAGGTAACAGTCAAACCACATGTTTCCAAGAGTCTATCTTGAAAGACAAACATGAGCGCTCAAGTTAGACTAAAAAATTAACGCTTACTTTCAGTAGGTTAGCTGAAATATCTGTTGCGTAGGAAATTAAAAATAGCTCGAAAATTATCCATTCCAGTTGACCACAGAATTATTACGATAATTTTTTATTTATTTGTCTCCGCAAAATGTCTGGGCAGTTATGATCGTCATTAAAATTCTTAGAATCCAATTTCCAGACCACTTTCGCTTCGTTTGTTTCTTTGCTTTATTAAACGTAATTTTTCTCTAAACAAAGGCTTAGTCCGGTGTATTCAAGTGGTTTTGAGGTAATAGCGCCAAAATAGAAATGATTATGTAACGTTTTTTGAATTTAGCTTCTTTCGTCGAATATTTTTCAAAGGAAATGAGTTTTAATTGCTTTCTTCAATTTGGAACATAATTCACATAAGGGTTTCCAGGATGTCTTAAACTGATATCGTAAGCGTCTGAAATCAGTTGTTGGCGCTCTCTTATGTAGTTTCGTATCGGATGTTTTTCCAAAAGAAACCGCTTTGTGTTGCATCTTGATCTATAAACGTGGAAACCTTTCGGTTTTGAGGGCAAAGGTAAACACTAGAAAAATGTAAATTAGATCAGAGGGTTTGTTTTGACGCGTTCAGCTTTCAACGACCTTTCTTGGAATCAACAATCACATATATGAGGTCGATCACGCGGAAAGCTATAAATAGTGAACAGTATGTGGGCGATCGAGCGTGGCATCCACGCATCATGTGACATCCACGCATCATGTGACATGAAAAATAGGCTTGAGCTTATGTAAGCATTTCTCGTCAAAACAACACTTGTGCCAACTTAGCATATTTTCCTTGATAGTAGAATTTCCGTCTGCGTCTGAAGCTAGAATTAATATTGGATTAGGTGTGGTAGACTTAAAGAGATTCCTTCTTGATATTAGATAAGAGGAATGGACATATAATATTTTATATCCGAAACAAAGAAATCTAATTCCAATAACTCTTATGGCGTTTCTTAAAAATCTGGTTTTTTTTTTCTTATCAGTAGTCAGTATACTATTTGCTTCATATCGAGGTACTCTTATTTCACTTTCTAGCACAGTGACTGAAAAGCTATTCAAAGAGCGTGTTTTCTTCACCGATTCGGTAAATGCGGGTTTGGCTAAATTTTATGTAGCATTCCCTTATCTTGCCGACAAGGTCAACCTCTTAGTTGTGCGCGTAATGCCCTCTGGATTTCGTTAACTCAAAGTAGTTTTGGCGAACCAAAACATTCTAGAGGCAAATATGGACTCTCTCTCCCACACGAGTCTTATGTTACTAAATGAGCCGGAAAGCGTGGATGTAATTTATTCGGAGAACAACCTGTGTGAGATACGCTTTCCCGGATAACTTACTTTTTTCTTCCTTCTTCACAAGATCTGTTTGTTTCTTGTTCAACCTGTAAATCTTGTAGGCATCAGGGCCACGCGGAATGCTTTGCTGTCGAATTTCTTCGAAATCGGGAAGAGCATTTAAAGTGCATCTAAAGTTTGTCTTCCATTTACAAGGATCCGCTCTATCTCTGCCTTCCACAAACTTCCCAGAATGTTTTGCCCATTCTTTGAATATATTAGCATCTGTTGGACACCAGTTTCGACCAGAACCGTGTTTCCAAGGAATTTTGAAGACTCCTCTCCGTTTATCCAGCCACTGCACTCCGGTAATTTCTCCACTATCGAGTTTGCTGATCAACCATTCTCGGAAACGCATTCTTCTCGTTCCCGACAGTTTGCTGTAATCGTGCATATTTTTTTTCTCCTTCTCTCCCTCCCTCCTTCGCTTTAGAGGAAACGACTTTAAAGTCGAAGGCCAATTTTTTTTCTCCCGATCAAGATGAATGGCAATAGCTTTTTCTTCCAGTACTAGCTCACATCAAGTTTTAAAACTAAAAATTTCAGCGGATTTAAAATTCGGTTTCGCTTTTAAGTTGAAGCGCAAAGGGTCTTTCGTCAGTCGTTTCGCCGAGGATACTCTACCGACGTTTTAGGGTTCTCAAATTTTTATATGCCCTTTCGTCTTAGGGGAAGTCCCTTCAAAAGGGTTTTTTCCCTTTGCGGGGGGCGTCATCAATTGACAATTGTTAACGCTCACAGTACTTTGAAATCCTGTCCGGTCCGCCTGTCTGTCAAAAACACGTTGAAAAGATCTTATTGCATTCGAAGCATATTTTTTTCTTGTGTCTAAAACCTACACGCCATGTCTTTTTATGCTCTCTTTTAGGGTATTGTTATGATTTGCAAATGTGATTCCACGTAAATATTTAATAACTTATCGCACCGGCTGTTACCAGAAGGGGTTTTTCCCTTTTTGGAAGACATGTTTATTCAAGTAACCAGCTGTAAACAATGCAGCGACGCAGTTTTCGATCGCTGAGGAGCTCGTTTTCATTTTTCGGTAGCAATTCTAACTAGACTTCTTCTGTGATAAGAAGAAGTAACTTCTCTATTCAATAAGTTAGCTTTTGCTAAATCGGTAAATGCAAATTTTTTGTATATTCATTAAATTGAACGGTTGGGATGATCATCCGAATTGAGTTTTAACCAAAATTGTTTATTGCATTGGCCATAAGCGGTTCAAATTTCGCTTAGTTCTATGTTATAAAGAAACAAATAAAATTGTCTCAGCCTTTATTATTATTAGAACTATTTCTCTAGTCGCAAGATGCTAGCCATCGATTAATGTAAACGCAAATATCTTCAGAGTCCTAGACGGGGAATCCCCGAATAGTGGACCTGATGGTTATCTAAGAGCTGAACATGATACAATTTTCGTGATTATTTTCATTCTCGCGGTGTAGAAAGCAGCGATAAAATAATCGTTATAAAATGTTCCGCTTCAGCTTACTGCTTCACATCAGCAGTCTAAGCAGAAAAATTTATGTTTAATCGCCCTCTTACAAAGTCATTTCAATATCTGCGCCACCTTCAATTACATTTCTTGATGACCTGCGAAAAGAATATTCTCGCGCTTTAGATCGCAAGTGCCCTTATCGGTCGTATTTATCAAAGTTTTTGGATGAAGATCGATGCTTCGAAAGATCTGTACGAAGTGCATTTAGCCTTTAGCCAATAAATACAATTTGATGACTTCACACCTCAGGCCGAGATATTTCCAACCCGGAGTATTTGGAAAAATAAAAGGGTCTCCGTGCCTTAGGATAATTGAAGAATAATGTCTAGAAAGCTAGTACATCAGTGTTTTCCTTTCGATTGTCACGCAATCCCGTTATGTGTGCGGTCACGCCAAGGTCAACGATTGTAATTTTGTAAAGGAAAGACGTAACAAAAACGATTTTGTGTGGAGCAACTGGGCAGTTACAACAACTACAAGACACAGAAAATACAGGTGAAATGTATTTTCTATGTCTTGTCGAAGAAAACGCGTGACAGAACACGCCGCTTGGGATTTAGCACAACAGATTGCCAACATCCGCATGGGTTTCAAATCCGACGACAAATCTTTTGCTTTGGTACAAAATACTTTCACTGAATTGGGCGATATATCTAGGTTACCCGAAAACAGCATCATTTCAGCCTTCGTAAGGTTACGTTTTGACGAGTGTACTTAGGCGTAATGTATTAATCCAAAGAGCTTAACTTGCTGACGTCGGCAGGCTAATTTGAATTTGCAATACTTGTGACATTTGCAATTTCGTCTCGATCAAATAAAGCTTGAATTTGTCACGAAACGTGTGTTTATCATGTGGGCTCGTGGTAAGACTGAAATGCGAGATCAACTTTTTGATGTAAATGAAGTTTTGATGCACGTTACCTCTGTCTCCCGCGGTATATCCATTTCCTTCTTCACCATTTCGGCTTAGTCGGCAATGAGGTGAAAAAAAACAAACACCGATAAAGTTCACACCCAATGTTTTGAAGCTGCACTTAAGTGCTAAATGATAAATATTTCTGGCATCAAAACTGACGGGGAATCCCCTGGTTATATCCTTTGTTAATCTAACTATTTTACGATGGCAACGCCTGGTCTTGTGGGAATTTGCTTAGAAAGCACAATCTTGAGGCGATCATACAAACTGCACCTATTAATTATTTAAATTTTTAAAGCTGGTGTGGCTATTGAAATATTTTATTTTACATGAAATTGAGCTGCTGTCATGTCTATCTGAGGAATTCATTTGGCAGAAAGTTACATTTCAGTTCGTAAAGAAATTAAAAAATCGCATAGACGGAACAATTAACAATGTGCTGCGTAAGCGTTTCATAACATTACAAAATGACTTGTAAATATATATTTTTCGAACTACTCTGACATACGATAACAAGTCATATTAGAGAGAGTCTCTTTAGCATCTTAAAAGCGTTTGTTTTTCTGTCTGGGAGATGAGGTAATCGTGATATTTTTAATTGTTAGCTAAAAAAAGTGCAACACAGCATTTATTGGATATGCTGACAAAGCATGTGAAAACTTAAACCAAAATGTCAACATTTTTGAAAATTCAATTTTTCATACGGAGCGAATTTTTCAAACTTTTGTCGATAAAATACCGCCAGGAATTTCGCTTAAAATCTAAAAGAAATTTTAAAATAAATATATTATTTAAAAATTAATGTTAAAAAGCGACGACGTTTTGTGTGAAAAGTGTGAATTATTTTTATTTCAAATAGACAATCTTTGCCAAAAATTAATTTTGGAGGTAAAAGTCGATGTCTTTGTATTCTCCGTCTGCAACTGAATCGAGGGTTGGACAAGAAGACTTTCGTGAAAAAAAAAATATGTTGGTTTGAATATTCAGAAGATATGCTTGTAATGTATTCCCAGACAGGTCTGAACTGGTGTTAGAGTATTACGACCTAGAAGGAATTATTCTTTCTTGAAAAAGATTTTCCTTTCGGTGAAAGATGGTCAAAACAAAATTTGCTCATGGTGGTTTTGATCTTCCCTCACAAATAAACTTAACCTTTACACCTTAATAAAAGTATCTATATTCTCCATATTATTCTCTATACATTCCCTGTCAGGTACTGACGAGGAGAATTTGTTTAACAATTTGAATAAAGAGCTTCTTTAGTTGGTGATCATTTCCTGTATTCTCCTGAACTTAATGTTTGATTTAGGGCTGAGAGTGTTGGGAGAAAATAGATGCTAAACGCTATCATCAGGGGTTGAGCGGTTAACTTACTTCACCCTGTAAACACATTTCGTTTATTTTCCATGACAGAATTACACTCCGACGGAGCTTAACGTACAGTTTCGAACCTAATTATAGACTACAAACGAGGTGATAAGGAAACTTGACACTGACCATTCTTACAGGGTTCGGTAATGTGGATGATGTCTAAGTTTCAGTCATTACATAAGGAAGTACTACCACAATTTCTCTCGTACTCAATTTCAATAATTATCAAATTATTTTTACTCAACAACTGATCAAAAGTTTTTTCACAAAAAATATGACTGGATGAAACAACAAGTAAACTCTTTCTAAATTTGGTGATGTCTGCCACTTAATCCAAGAACTGCTTTGTGCCAGCACATGCCAAGCATGTACACATTGGTGGTAAAATATCTGCGGGTGATTGAAGATGAATTACCACTAATTTTTCGATAGAAGTGATCATTTCTAGAAAATCTGAGCTTTCCTTGAAAGAGTTATATGACAGAGAGGTTTAAATTCCAAAACGGTCGCTGATGTATCTACCACTCAACTTAATTCAATTTAAAATACATTACTTACCGGATTCTTACTATATCAAACAATCTGTGAGCATAGGGAACTGCTAAACCTGAACAAAAATGACACAAAACCTACGAAGATAGAAGTCTTGGCAGTCACTACGTTTGTCGCCTTTGGGCCGGCATCCACTGAAGAGGATGGTCACTCATGCCGGTCATAAGTTGCCCTCTTATAATCATTTATTTTGCTCTCCTATATCATGTGAGAAAATTCATTCCCTTTGCTTATTAAAGCTTACTGTACTGACTTAAATCTCGACAAGAGTTCTTAACTGTCTTACGATCTGTTAATGACGCTTAAAATTTCCCGAGTGGAGTCTGGTGTCAAAGGAAGGGTAGCAGAGTATTCATTCCCATAGTTAGTTGAGCCCTCGGACTTCAAGACCAACTGCAATGGAGGGCCCTTCTTTGGAGAAGAAGACTCGTCAGCGAACTCTGCAGAAATAAAAGAAAAGAATACAGTCGTGACATTAGATTCACGTGTATTTTTGGGTGACATTTTATGGGAAGACCAGAGGAATTATTCCGCATTTGCATAGCCTGATAGAAACAATTGGGGATAGAAAACATGCAAACTTCTTATCTTCCCAGTTCTCTTGCGGTAAGAAAAGGCTATGCAAGATTTATTTTCAACCACCTTTAAATTAAAGCTTTTTTTTGCAGATGAGATTTCTTCTGCTTTTATCTTTTAATTTTTTTCGTTCTTTTGTTGTTATTATTGTTGTTACTTTTTTTAAATTCGATTTGTATTCTGCTCTATTGCTTGACAATTCAACGTAACCACACTTAATGGTATTTGCTTAAAGTGATGAAATTAAACAGACGTTAGATTAACCCGGTCCTCTCCAACATCTACATGTAAAAATCAGTTCTCTGAACTGTCTGCCATACATTTCTGATCATTTTAGCTCAGTTTAAATCAATCAATATCCCCTCCTTTTTCACATAAATATGTGTTTACATCTTTATGAGAAATTCCTATTCGATTTATCCTGGTAGCGAAAGGTACATGAGAGGCTTTTGAAACTTTCACATGTAGATCTTTATATTGTCATCATGGCTTTTTTTACCTTGTTCAGGATCATTGGAACCCTCCATTCCTTCCATTTCGTCAAGTGAAGACCCACTCTGCTCTGACATTTGGTCCACCAACTATAGAGAAAGGGAAAAATAGATCTTATTGGGTTATCCCTTTTAAGAATATCATCTTCAAAGTGTGTGTCAGTTGTAAAATTTTCTTACATCGATGATTTCTTGATCACTGGGGACTTCGTCTTCTGAAAAGGGAAATAAGGAAGGAAAGGTTAGCATTTAAGTCAGCAAGCTAGAACACTGCTGAATACAATCGGGACAGTATATTGATAAAAGCAACTTCACAGCATCAACGTACCCTCTTTGACTATTACTTTGGCGCCCTCTGTGGAACTCTGGAAAACAAAAGGAACCTACTGTTCAGTGTCTTAGGTGTCTGGCATTAACCCTTTAACTCCCAAGATCTCATTAGTAATTCTTCTTACTGTCTGCCATACAAGTCTTGTGATGTTAGTTTGGAGAATTTGGTATTGGATCAACTAATAATCCCCTAATTAATATTTTTCTTTATTCTCATCACAGGTCTGCTTGATATTGTATTGATAATGTAAGGAGAAATTCTGTTTTAATCACCTATGGGAGTGAAGGGGTTAAAGAAAATATTGAACCTTCAGGCACAAGGTGTCCTAGAACAGCTATTGAAGAGACTTCTTCTCTAAAGAGGATGCAATCAGACTTTAAAATTCAAGTTCAGGAAAAAAAGTCATTGAGATCGAATGGTAAGGGCACTGGGTGAATAATACAGTGATTCTTAGCTCAGTTTAAGCCCTCTTGCCCGTTCACTAGATTTTTTCAGTAGCTCGAAAAATTAGTAGATGCATGGATGAATTATCTCCACTCCTACTTAACAGGTGGGCCATGATGAATTACCTCATCCAATTCATTAAGGTCTCGTGAGCATGAAGGCATCATCCCATCATCTGGAGACAAAGGTTCCTGTTTAATACCTGGTTGAGTCATAACGCCAATGTCTAAAGGAAGAAGACACCAAAAGTTGGGTACAAGACAATGTCAGTACTTTGCATGAGAACTGCGTTTCCAGTAGCGGCAGTAGATCGGTGATACCTATTTTGGGGATAGCTAGAAGCTATCAGATTAATCTGGAGAGAGAACGAGGCGGACGAACAAAACAATTCACTCAACACAGAAGGAGATAGCATCCTAGCTAGTATCAGTTTTCTTTAGTTTGCCGAACCATAGCACTTACCAAATTTAGCTAATCAGAAGCAACAAAAATGGCTTTGTGGAAACAGGAAACCAAAAATTTACATGGCATGACAAAACGCAGAGGAAAATATTAAGGAAAAATCGGCGGTGTACATAAATAGCGCAAAGAAAAGAACAAAACCCAAAGATTAAAGATAAACCATCGAGAGCTGAAATATAATCAAGAAAGCTTCAACCTTTGTGTAATGCACCAGTGAAGATCTAATAAACCTCCCATTTATTGCTATTAATCACAATAGTTTTATCTAGCCTTGAATAAGTTATTCGAGCATTTTGCGACTTAAATGAAACCATCCCTTGATTTATAAACACTGAAGTGCATAGTATTTGCAATATCTACCTTTCATTTCAGGCCTTGGGTCGAACCATGGGGTCATGTAATCGTGATCCAACAGATGTGGCCAGGTGTGAAAGGTTGGCCAAAACCCAAAGCCATTGAAGGGTTTAGTACCCGATAGAGGGTAATAAGGAGCCTTCCTTGGTGTTTCCTGTGTAACGAGAAAATGTGGTGAGTCACGGGGTGAGAGTGTTTGGTGTGGTTTCTCTTTCATTTAACTCTGAAAAACACCGAGTGCGGATGTTCATGGTTAGGAAAAGATTAATTTACAACGAAGAATCGTTAGCAAACCGCACTGACTTAGAGACACTCTCGCTGTAAAAAATAATCTCGCAAATGAAGCGCAGTTTTTAAAATAAACTTTATGATAAACTTTATAAATAAATAATGCGTAAGTTTGGCGCACTAATGTATGCAGATGTGACTTGAATAACATGGAGTTAAGTTCCTTGGAGACAATATGGGTTACAGCGATGGAAAAGGAGGAAGAACTCTCACCAAAATAGATTCCCTGAGGATCTAGCGCGTTGCAACACTAAATTCTTAGTGATGCAATTGTGTCCAAGGTTGCAAGCTTGCGTATGATTTCACAGGAAGTTTTTAGTTAAAGTCAATTATTCTGAATATAGTACATTTATGGTGCACCGAAGAGACCCACAATTAGCTGCATGGACTTAGAGTCACTCCTCATTTTTATAGCGGCGCTCATCAGAGTTCCACATATTGTTTCCCTTTGTAAAATTCAGGTATTATTTCATTTCGTCTTTAATGAAAAAGGGACTTGGACAAACGAATGGACTAAAACTTTCACTCAAATCATCCGATCACTCACAAGGAAGCGAAAGAGCTCATAATAAACAAAGAGTGCTTTTCCTGCTTTTATTCAGTAAAAGATACGAAAAACACGAATAGCGCAATAAAGTTAAACCGAGGGCGCTATTTCAAAGAAATAGGTAATTAATGTCGTAGAAAAATAGTTTTGTATTGTTGCGCACTTGCACTGTGCTAATACGGTTTTACCCGCGATTTTTCTTTCCCTATGAATTCAAACAAACCCGTACGATCCGGACAAATTTAAAAGATTCACCGTTCATATGACGTCCTTCATTCAGCTTTCGAAACTGAAATAAGCTGCAACGCAAATCCAATTGTATTTTCACAACGATTACACTGAAACGAACTGAAGAACTTAAAGAAAGCGAAACCACAAACGGTTCGCACCACAAAACTTTCAATTTCCTCTTTCAGTTGAACGATTCTCCTTTTGTTTTCTAAAAAGCTTTTAGATCTCCACATTCTAAGAAAATAAATTATCATGTCTGTTATTTTTTTAACTCGTGATCTGAAGTTTTGAAGATAAACACAGAATTGAGCTTTCTAGTTAATAAGAATTCCAAGAATTAGTTGTAAGGGGTGTTTATTGTCTTGGATTACGCAAGAACGTCTTTAATTTAGGGGCATTTTTTCCCGGAAATATTTGTTTGTATTTTCAGGTAGATGATTTAAAAAAAACGTGCATTATTCTTACACCTTTCGCTGAATTTTTGGCCACAAAAAAAAAAAAAAGCAAAAAACAAAAAAAGAGCGAGTCACCCTTGAACAAACGTTTCTGTTCGTCAACAGACGCGCTGGATCTTCGGCTTGTTCAAATCGGGCCTTTTTCCAAGAAGTATCATCATACAATTAAAATCGAATGTAAAAATTAATTACAATGATGTTGTAACCTTTAGTTTTGCCAATGGGTTTTGCTTGAAGGTAAAATTCAAGAGCGTTAAAAGGTATTTATCGTGGACACAAATTTATAGTTTGAAGGACGATTCTAAACGAACCAAAACGCATTTTTCAAATGTGGCTTTAAGATTTGTGTCGCTCTTCCGATTTGAATACAACTGAGATTGCCATCCTAAACTCTATTTGACATTGATCTAGCCTCTAACTAGCCATATAAGTCGGCAATCCTCAAACGATAAAAACCTATATTTTCAACCTTAAAACGATCTATAAAGTTAGCTGGGGTCAGTTAATTGTTAATGTGTGTTTTGCAAAGACATAGACTGAACGATATTTGTGAAGTGTTTTCCAGAATTTGACTCTGTTTTGACTGCCGTTGCTCTGTGATAGGAAAAAGACAGCTTACTAGTAGTTTATCTCTTAAACAGTCGGTGAATCTCTCACTGTAATCGCTTGTCTACTATGAGGTGTGTAGAGAGCATTTGACTCTGTTTAGACCGCCGCTTCTCTGGGAAAAGTAAACTAAACAGGAGAGTTTGCCCCTTAAACAAACTGTTAATATCCCACTGTGATCGCCGTACTTTTTAACCAAGATCACTTACCCCTATACTCTGCCTGTTCCTCATCGGGCCAGGATCACTTCTAGCCGCTCTCTTTGCTGAGGAGTGTTCTCTCGTCGGAGGTGTCACATTTGGAGTTGTAACAGTGCTGGTTGAGGCACATGCTGTAGGCGCTGGAGACAAACAAATAATTACAGATCAAAAATTATTCAGATCATACATTTATTCTGGCATGTTCTTGCAGTTCAACGTTGGCTAAAAGCTAAGCTGATTTAAGTACAGAAGATGGTAAAACAAGAATTTCGACTCGACTTTTCGAGCTTCTGGAAGAAGGAAATCGTTCACTCGACCTCGTTCTTCGAAGACTTCTCGCCAAATCGAAATTAAAGCCATTCCTTTTGAAGAGCATTCATCAGTCTATTGATTGTTATCCTCAACCAACTCAAACCCTCTGTTATGTCAAACTATTTCTTGTTCCTCTCAATTGGAAGCAACGGTTAACAGTATGTGTCTTTTCAATCTCTTTGGGGCTCTTGAACCTTAGTTAGTCATGCATAGCTCAGCAAACTAAACCGTATAAAAAGATGATGACTTTTATGAAAAGGTTTGCATATACAGAAACGATTTGCAGCTGTTAATCAGTTCATTTCGGCATTGATCACCCCTTTTATTTGATTATCTGATAAGTGTAAAGAGGTAAGACAGCAACACAGCAGAGCTGCCCACGATACGTTTCAGGTTATAAGGTTGCCAATAAGGTGAACTAAGAGCGGCTCCGAAATTTCCAGGAGACGGTTCTCCGAAGCTACGTGTGAATTCTTTACTAAAACAGCACTGAGCTAAAAGAACGTAGGTTTACAAAAATCACTCGAAGAACCGTCGGCAAACATTTTTGAAGTGTTTTTCTTTGACCGGCCCTGTTTGTCGTTTTTAGATACGAATGACGTGAGTTACGAAGCCACCGCTTCAATTACACCCAACGACGCAGACTTATGTGCACTCATCATATCATTGCCCTTTTTTGAAGAAGATCCTAAATACATCGTAGTTTACTCTAAAATAAAACAAAGGCAACAAATTCCGCATTGCCTAAGCAATGCCTCTTGACACAGAGTTAGCTCGCCTTAAATTTAGACGCCCTTAATTCGTTTTCCTACGGGTAAGTAAATAGCTTGATCAACAGGGTTTAGTTAGGCTGATGACATTCATCTCATCATAGAATGAGGCGGGGTTTGCCAGAGAAAGATTCGATACTGACCACATTCCGCATTCTTCGACCCTAATTTTGAATACTTTACTCCACTCCAGGGTGCAATGCGTAATGCCACGTTTGAAAGATTGAATTCTCGCTCTTAAAATTGATCTAAGCTTCTGCAGTTGTACAAAGCAATGCCTATTCTGATGATGTGGACCAATATTGTATACCTTTTGAAAAGCTGTACACAATGGAGCTGGGTATCATTGCAGCAGTGATTTATGATATGCACTTCTTAGAAACAAATCCTGTCTAGAAAACGTTCATTCTAGTTACAATATCACGATATTTATGATATACCAGACTGATTCTAATAACCGAGAGCGTCGTGTCAGTGTTTTGAACACATTTGTCACCGCAAGCAACAAATGCAACTAGGTTTTGCAACGTTCGTGCTGTTAACTATTCTTAGAGTCTAAGTCACACATTAAATCAGTTGCTTTATTGCTTTTCTCGGCGATGCAAGTTCGCGTGTGAAGGCGTTTTCTCAGCAAAGTTTATTCCCCAAGTCTATTGAGGACACAGTTTCCACGCGTCAGCTAGGATACGCGACTGTTGCATAATAATGAAGATACCTAACACCGTGAGTGGTCCAATAAGATCGCATCTCAGTATTCTACGACGATATTGAAAGATTCGTTAAGACTTCCGAACCCTCCTAGTTTCAAACAAAGAGTGCAACTAGGAACCTAATACGAATAAGTTCAACCCTTGGTTCGAAGCTTGAATTTAAAGGCTACTTACCATCCCGAACCACTCGACAAGATTATTCCCGCGTCAACTAGTTATGTCTGAAATACACATTGGCGACTCCAGTTGCCCTTTTTAGGCGAAGCTCGCGAAATTACAAAGAAAACGTTTTAGCTTGGATATGCAATTCTTGTTTGAGCTCTCGGGCGTCTTCTTGTTTCTTGTTAATTTATGGAGAACTGAGAGCTCTTCCGGACGACTCCTTGAGGCGTGCCAACCAGGAAGTATGAAACGAATCATCTTTCTAGATCTCAAAATATTCTTTTTCGTATCATAATTTTGCTAAAGCTCCCGCCATTTCTTGGTGAAAAGCTTATAAGAACTCAGTCATTTCAGTTATTAAAGTATATATGCAAATTGAGTTAATTTAAGCTCTTTCTCGGAAAAGCTCTCATAAACAATTTATCGTATCTTTCTAGGAATTGGTCACGCTTTGTTGTGTGGTTTGACTTTTCCCTCACGCTTTCCAAAAGATGTCGGAAGAAATATTCATTAAAATCAACAGAGAATTGTGGTAAACTATCGAACGACTATTTCCACGACTTCTCTTCAAAGGAAACTGAAATACAGGGTAAAATGTGCATGAAAGTTAAAATTTCCGGCTTAGGTCACGTCAGTCAATGATCCAGACAAACGAATACGAAGCGTAGACGTTTTCTGTTATATTTTCCCGACTATTGGGGCAGTCTCTTTCAGAGAAACTGTTCCTAGGGAAGCATTCGGTAAATTTAACACGTAAACAAATCAGTATAAAAAAAAATCGATTCGATAAGCATTCTGGACTTGTATAATTTTAGTAAATTCGCAGCTGCTAAGCGCCGTGGTTGTTTATAAACTGAACTTCACGCACGCTACTCACCCTTATTTTGTCGTTTGTTATGTAAGTCTTTCTTGGCTGTTTTCTTCACTATCTGATAGACTTTATAAGCGTCTTGGCCTCGTGCTATTCCTTGATTTGGAAGCTCGACGATGTCCGGGAGGGCGTTCAGAGCACATCGAAAATTCGCCTTCCAACGCCGCGGATCAGGTCTGTCGTGTCCTTTCCTGTAGCGACCACTGTGTATGGCCCAACCTTCGAAGACGCAGGCGTCTTTAGGGTAGGACCAGCACTGCCTTGAGGCATGCTTCCACGATACTTTGAAGATGCCTTTCTCTCGGTCGTCCCACTCGAGACCCGGTAGCTTTCCGCTGTCTGCTTGTTTTTCAATCCATGCGCGAAGCCGAAGTCTTTCCGCTGGCATCATGAAATTGCTGCGGAATAATGTCTTGAGTAAAGGTACTGCGACTTTGTAGTGAAAAAATCTTAAGCCTTTGTTTCAAATGGAAGAGACTTCTGTACTCTTTGCAGCTTACGTTTCAGTTGAGTGTCGAGGAAAGTGGCACTTTCTAGCTTTCACATGATATTTTGGGGAGTCCCCTACCTTTTCCGAGAATTGACGTCACTATGTTTTGACCAATCAACGTACGGTATTTCCCGTTGATCTGTTATTTATTTTGTCTAGAAAGTTAAAAGCGAGAAAAAATGAATAACCTGATTCTTACGTATTTTCCATACTTGTTATTTACTCTATTTAAACTCGCATAATGTATGGCGCTGAAATCAGAGCCAGAGTTAGTTTGTTGTTTTCAACTATTAGGGTCACAAAAAGTGAAAGATTAAACAAGAAACCGAATACGAAATAACTTCGTTTCAGAAACGAAAGAAATAGTTGCGAAACCTTGTATGAATGGCTAAGTGAAAGGTTATTCTTCTTTCGCGATGATATCGAGTGTAATATTTACCAAACAACACTTGTGTCACGGTCTTGTGAGTCGCTCATCTCTGGCGAATCTCCCTACTCCACGCAGTTATTGGATAATTTACTGCATCAGAGTTCTAACTAACAAAATATTCCCGATGAAATGAGGAAAATGACATCTATTGAGCTAAGCTTTGCCTCTTATCGTCATCGATCATGTGCTAAATTTACCCCAGCTTTATGCTCTTGTTATGCTAATATATTCACAAATTAGTCAGTGTTGATTCAGAAGGTCATACTTCACCGGCGAAGATGAAGTTTTACGCGGCAGCACAGCAATTTCTTCCGTAAATTTTGCATTAGTGGAAAAATAAAAAAATGAAAGATATAAATTTTCAGCTTAGTGGCTTTTAAAATCCGAAAGGGAACCCTTGGTGCGAAAGTCAGGGATGAAGTTTGCGTGACAGGTCCGGTCTTTGGACCGTCGGTTCCTCGAGACAGACAGGAAGCTGTGTTTAGTCGAGAATTCAATATGTTCACCCGAAGTAAACCACGCTTAAACTGAAACAGCAAGAGATCGTCGCTGATAATATTTCGTCTTCTTTTGTTTTCAGCTTTCGATCCATTTGATTGAAGGGCAGGGTTATTCTATGAAAAATCAAGTATTCCACGTGGAGTGAATGACTTCCGCTTCCAGGAAAACTTATCATAATGCAAATTAGTATTTTGTATGACAAAATCGTCTATTTTTTATCATTTTCACCGAATAGGTCGCTGCCGTTAACCAACAGTTAACATTAATTTTTTCATACTATTCGACGAAGGTTGTATTATCTGGTCTCGATTTTGAATGATCTATCTGTGACATCTTTACACCAAGCTTGGTCGCTTTTTCGCGGTGTTAGATTATCCGATTTAATCTTTTGAATGAAAGGCGTATCAATTCCTAGCCGCACCCCTCAACACACCTAAGCACTAATAGTTTAAAAATAGCTTGTAAATTCAACTTCCGCGTTCAAAGAGGGCCACACCACGGGTACTCGTGACTGGGCAAGGTTACCAAGGTACACTTGACAAAGATTTCGCAGAACAAAAATTGCTTTAGAATTACTTTGAAATAAATTTTTTTTCCAATACCTGATTTTGACAGCATTTTTGACTGCTTCAAATACTCTGTAGAGCCAAATCTAATGGAGCATTGGTTAATTCAAGCTACTGGAGGTGTCATCAAATCAAATTCGAGGGACGCTAACTCAAATAGAGCCAGAAGGATCAGAGCTTGGCCGAAGGGAATTGAAAACATCAATTGGTGATTAATTTTGTTTGCAAATTACTAAAACGAGACTTCGTCCGCTCACAATATAGCTCTAGAGAGACAAGTTCAAAAGACCATCGGTAAAAGAACTTCTCGTCGCGGTAGGGTAACAACGATATTAGTTTCAGTGGAAACGTGGAATCTGATTTGAAGAAGTTGTGAGAACGCTCCATCAAACATGTTAAGTTGTGGACGTGGAACAGGAGAGTAAACTTATTTAGCGTGAAAAAATGGCCGAGCAAGACCTGTTTTAAATACATCAACCCTCCGGTGAAGGACACCACCATAAGCGAACAGTTTCCAAATTGTAATTCCCCGCCTTCCCTCCCAGCCTAACTCTGCATTTACACATTCTCGGAAGCGGACGCGAACACTTATGAAAGTGAAAATTAGATTTTTCTTTTCTTTCCGCTCTCTTGTGAGCGGACACCCATGAATAATAATAGACTTTTGGCAATGAAATTTTCCTTTAATTTACAAATCAACAAAAATATGACCTTTCACAGAGCAGCAGACACGGACACTTTTCCCGATTCCCAAGGGTGTCCGCTTACAAGAGAGTTGATGGAGTTCCTACTTGAGTCGCTTCTTAGCCTTTAAACGGTCTACAAGCTCCAAGTACGCCTTGAAAGTTTTGGTTTCGTAACAATCAAGCAGACACCAACTTTAGCAATCAAATGTCCTCTTAAGAGGGGGAGGAGGGGGGCTAGTGTACTGCTTTGAATCCTCCCTAAGGGTGTATTGTACGGTCCACAAAGTCGTGACAAAAAAGTGTGTGCTTGTTTCACATTTAAAGAAGTGCCGTAATCAAGAAATAGATGATAAAATTCATTAGAAAAATAGGTTGGAATTTTACATTTAGGTAATTTTCCTATCCCAGTATTTGGCGTTGAAAACTTAAAAGCATGAAGTTGCAACACCCTTGGAATCCACAACCAACTTATGACTAATTGATCAAAATTCTGCGCCTGTTTGTAAAACCAGGAAGGGTTTAAGCGAACCTCACCACATAAGGTTCAACATGGGAGGTAAGAGGGGGAGGGGAGGGAGCTTAACCCCTCCTCCCAATCCCAGATACCCAGCAGCAACCGCAGCGATCTCAATGACGCCATCTTCGTGATCGACCCCAAGCGTTCGTTAGGCCCTGATCTTTAATGCATATGATTGCTTCACTTCATATTTCAGTTGCAGTGGGTAGCTGAAAAAGGTAAGAAAGCCTTAAACTTACTATATATCTTGACTATTTGTCTCGACTCCGCTAATGTAATCACTTTGACAATGTAATAAATTTTTTACAGTTTTGCAGAATGCTCAGTTTTAGAAATATACGGTTAAGCTGTAATATTTAAGCGAATATTCCGACAGAAGTCCTTCTTGATTTGAAAAATATCACTATACTTTTAAATTCGCAAATAGGAAGTCCCCAAAATAAAAGAGTCATTAAAAAAAAACTTGCCAATGACGAGACTATTTAGATTCAAATTGAAGCAAGCAAGGTCATTACGGTGAAACACGCTCTAACAATTTTTTCTTGCCGTAAAGGATTGTGTGAGGTTACATGGGGAATAATTGACATCAGCTTTCGTGAGTGGTTTTAATCACCAAAGGATTTCTCTCATGACTCATTCAAATGAGATGGTAGAAAGCCATCAAGTAGACAATCATCACTTTTTACATTTCACCGGCATAAGCACCTTCATGTTCATTTTCCCACTTGGTGCGTCCCACCAAGCGCCACTGAATCAGGCAGGCTCCGTTTAAAGGTTAAAACGTTTGGTTTGTTGAACTGCGATGCTGCAGGGCAAGTCTGCCTACTGAGATCTCTGTAACCGGGGTTAAACCCAACGATTGCTTCTTATCGCTGCGATAACCGTGCTATCTCCATGAGAGCTCGAAACCAAGCCGAACTTTTTAAATGAAAGGATTTTGACTTCTATTAACTTCAGACTGAAAATTAAACTCAATTAAAGGCGGTGACTGCTTGTTGTCTTGTCCTTTATTTCCAAGGCCGTACAATTATTTCGAAACAATTGTCTTGGGTGTGAATGCCGGTATGTTACGAGTATTCGATTGTCTCATTGCAATACCCAGACAGGAAGAAGATGACATTTGCAGCCATTCTCATTAGCATAACCTCAAATATGATCACCTACCAAGATTAAAGGATAACATGAAATCGTAGCAAATCCTAGCAGCTGCTTACAGTCTGAATATGAAAGTTTTCGGTAGAAGTTGCGATTAGAGTACATTTGCTTCATAAAGGAATTTCAGCTTGGTTCCTGAAATAAACTAAGCGTGATCTCTCAGGTTTATCCTCAAAGCTGACCAGAATTACCGATGCAGGGATGTTTCAATACCTAATGATATACCTGGAAAAATTACGCGCGGTGCAGACAAGGAATCGTAATTTTTTAAAGACTACAAATTACACCCGCCCTACAAGCTCGTGTAATTTGGTTGTCTTTGACTGAAAATTTACTCGTGCTTATGAACAAGAAATTGGTGTCGAAATCGTGTTGTTACCTATACTAACATTCCTATATTTAATGGGGAGTTGGTGCAGTACTGTAAAGGTACTGTAGAGTGTATAAGAGTGTATCCATATGGAGAATGCACTAAACATACTAGTCATTATCAATCGTCTGTCCTTGGCAGAGTCCGGTCTGTAGAGCTCACTTAACTAGTGCAAATATGGTAAGCGTTATTCCTTTATCATTGCCACTACAATAGTTTAACACTTAGGTTCATTATTAGTCGGCGAACGGACTGTCTTTGTAAAAGTTGGTTAAATCTAGTAAAAGAGCTACAAGCCATTTTTAGCTGAGGAGCAGCCATAAAACAATCGTAAGAGGGATGATAATGTGAAGAAGTCCACTTTAAATGTTTTCTCGTACATTTAAGAGTGTTCATCAGCAATGCTTGGTGAAACTAGGGTCAGGATCAGTGCTTTAGAAAATGGTCGAAAATATGACGTAACATACCATTCAAATCTCAGTCCGGGTCTTTTCCCACGAAAACAACTTCCTCGATACTATCAATCTGATTAACCCTAGTCTTTTTAGAAGCAAGCATAACCACTTACTAAGGAAATTCAATGATTCAATTATATCAATATTAATCTTCCCTGTGGATTTCCTTTAAAATGTATTCACAGGGGGATAAAGCAAATGTAAAAACATCCTTTGTGTATGACACCCACTCCACTCGTGTTATGATTCCTTTGGAAAGTTTGAATTGTGCAATTTGTCTCATGGCATATATTGAGTGTGCGGGAGTCTTCGAAAAGAACTGTTACTCCCCCAAATGAATCCTTGTATACATTACAACTCCATAGCGGATTAAATGTGACTTTCTGAAATGGGTGACACCGCTGGATTTTTTACCTCGAAGGCTCGGTTTATTCCTTTGGGCATTGCTTTCGGTGGCTGCCGAAAACGTGTCGGTTTTATTCGTTTCGAAAAAGGTGAGATATTTTGGAAGAAGACCAAAGGAGCTGCGGAAGGTACTTCAAAAGACTTGGACAATAGTGTAATTAAGCTACCTTGCGCGAACTGACTTGTGATCTTGTATCCTTTTGTTTACATTGTCTTGAGATGAATGAACTCGAGATCGATTAACTGCAATCATTTGAATGGATTTAGTTTCTATTCACGGTGTATTTTTAGCCTTAATATGTTTTAAGGATTAAAGAGCGTCGCAAAAGATTTAATAATGGATCTTGAACGAGTTGTTGCAATCACTGCGAAGAGCAAAAGCGAAAATAGTTTATCATTTCGAGCGCCGATCGTTTTGTTTTGATCCGAATCAAGCAGATTCCCAGGAGAGTTTATTTCATCTGT